CTAAATGAAGCTGCTCAAGACAAAACATTGATTAGTCCCTCTATTTAGGGTGTAACACCTGCAATAGAGCCCTCACAAACATAACAGATACACTTTTATATTTTCTCAAGGGGTTTTGGTGACATTTATAAAACTGCCCGTAATGCTGTTGTAGAGAATTGTTCCCCGTTGAGTGAAACTGAACAAGTAAATATTTTTGGCCCTCTATCACGCTCTTCCTCAACCTAAACCCCAACCTGTTGTTTGAGTTCTCCACCTAAAGCTCCCGGTAGGACTTCCATTTTCTTTATATCCAATAACTCCTGAATACCTAAAAGTCACTTAATCTGTTCTTTCCAATCCCCATATTGTAAACTGCCACCAAAACCGGTAAACTTGGGCACCCAAGATGCACCAGCATATAATGGCATCATCATCATAGTTATATCTTAAAACAACCCTTTGGGCGACTGTTCACTGCTCCCAAAAAAACTAAATCCTGCTGACAACTCCAAATGTACGTCAGCCATCGAGGGTAATTAAAATTTTTGCGCAACCTAGGTAAAACTAAGAGCCCTAGGATCTCAAGGAGACTAAAAAAGTTACAGTTCTTTTTATTTGGGGGAGAGCAGTGAAAGAGCCACGCAAAAGGAGGCAGAGGCTGAAGTGCCATGGGAATCCTTAAACCAAAACACTTCAGATTAATGCACACACTACGCACAATACCTCACATCTGACTTTATACCCAGATCTGAGCTAAACAGGTAACTGAGCCCCACACAGGTGACCACCTGATAGAGCTGCGTCCACTGCATTACGTCCCAGGGGTTAATCCAGTGTTTGATATCACAATAGCTGTTTAGACAGGCGCTCATTCTGCAATTGTGTTGGCTGATTTACTTGCAAATTCTACATATAGGCCAATGATGTGCTAGTTGTTTCCGACTAAGTTCATGGCTAGGTTTTATTGTTTTGTCAACCCCCCCGAATACACGCATGTGTAGTGTAATATTTAAACGGTCGAGAAGCACGTAACCGGCACATTAAAATGTTGTTTACACATTTACACGTTGTTTTTCATCTTACAGTCTAATAAAACATTTTGGTTAGCGTGATTTAAAAAGAAATACATGTGTTTATTTTGACAAATCTATATGGTAAACCTACGGTGGCCCTGAAGTGCAAAACACACACAAAAATATATAAACCCGACGTCGGCAGCAATTCAAATAGACCGCAATTAAACTCTTGCATGCGGCAGTCTTGTATTGATTTGTAAATAACAAAATAAGTTCCCATATCACTCGCATTTGCTTACGTTAATGTGGTCGAAATCATAACCGAAACTCATGCCAATGGGTTTTCTGATTGTCAGATCTATTATCCTGGTCTATTATGAACAAAAAAGAAAAAGGGAATGAGAGTCACATATTTTTCCTTTATAGAACAGCCAAATCCTATTCGACTGACAACATTCAGAGTTCGGTAGACAGCTGACATTCTGCAATAGATCCAGCTGAAACATCCTAAGTAATATCCTTGCAAAATAGAGCCATAAAGTCTAAAACATAAAACAGGTAGTCATAATAATTGAGGCTAGGTGAAAAAAATCATCAAATGCAGTTCACATTCTTTTTTTCACTTCAGTATGGATGAGCTGTTGGCAGGTAAACAGCCAATGGGCTTTCAAGCGAATATAAACACTCCTAGCAAGCATTGGTGCTATGAAAGCAATATTCATTTCTGCAATATTTCTGGAGTTTAGAAGTCTCATAACAGCGTCCATATTAGCCTGACATGTGGTGTGTGTGTGTGTGTGTGTGTGTGTGTATGTGTGTGTGTGTGTGTGTGTTTTCATCTATACGCCTTAATCCCAAACTAATGGGATAGATAAGATTCTTGGAATGTCCTGTTTATATTGGTGCGTATCTCTTCTATTCCTTTGGGTTGTATGAGCGGATCAACAGAATGAATGTGGTGCGACCATCCGTCTTGTCTTTTAGTTTCTAAATGTGCGCAAACATCTGACAAACTTCCATGTCAGCGTTCAATGTCTTTTTATTTGATCTGACACTCCTCCGTGTGTCGGGTTCACGTCGCCGTTGCTGACATACAAGCGGAACAATTACCAAAGCGCGCCCCGCAGGAATTGCGAAGCGACGGCGCACGACAGCTGCTCGCACCAGCGTAGCCCTTATCTCCCGACAGCTTAGCCAAACACGCTAAAAACAAGCGAGGGGCTTGTCCTTGAAACGGTCGTGGGGCTGCAGCCGTCCCCGTTTTCTAACTCGGGACTCGGACACGAGCGAGCAGACCCAGGCGGTCTGAAACAAACAGAACGCACGCGCCTCTGTAGGGCTGCGGAGCCATATGGGTTTGAGTCGACCCTCAGGCCCAGCAGCATGGAGCGAAGGCTCTGGGGACGCCATACACGGAGATACACCAGCCGCACAATCAGGGCAGCAGATGCAGCCTACACTGTCCTCGCTATCTCACCTTCTGTTTCCCCCCTCTACGTTTAACCCCTTCTCATTCTGACATGCTTGGGGTTTTTGTCCATCCGTTTGCTCAACTGGCTGTGCTTGCTTGGCCCTTTCTGGTTAGGCCTCGACTTGGCTTGCTCCTTCATCTGCCTTTCTGTTTGCCTACTACCAGCCACTGCTGCTTATTTCGCCTTTTCACTTGTGCCTGATTCTAACCTGCTTCTGTTGTCCTGATTTTTTAGACCGATGTGACATTTGAATGATCAGGTCAAATAAGACAAGCTCAGATCCGGGACCGATTAAGATCAGAATAAAGAATGCATATTACGACTGGTAAAAAGGTCTCCTGTCCGTCTTTATTTGCTGTTCTGTCTACTTGTTGATACATTGGTGTCTTTCTATTCCATTTGTACGATCCTGACATTTATTTGCCATAGGTTTCCTCTTCAGTTTTTCTCATCTGTGTAGTCTTTATAGTTGGGCATGCATTTTATTTTGAAGGACGCAATGTCTACACTGCTTTCTGACTTTCAGAGTTTATTTCTGACTCTTCGGTGAGCCTGTCTGTCTGTAAACATGTCTGTCTCAGATTCTGTCTGTCGGCTTCTATAGTCACTTCTCATATTGGAGTGTAAGGAAGACAGACTACGAGCAGCACTACCACTTTAGGAAGCTAGAGGGAGCTGTGGTTATTTGACTCCCTAACACACACTAACACACACAGGTGAGTTATTAATATCTCATAAGCTATTCGCGTTTAAGAATCAATTTCTGACATTCAAAATACCCACCCAAGTCAGTTGCAGCAACTAACAGGGTGATTGTTACACCCTCAGTGTAAAAAGCTGTAGTATGAAATGAAAAATCTGTTACAAACAGTAGGGAGTGCTTTGTTTGTACTAGTGAGTGTTCAGATGAGCTGTACAACCAGCCTCTGCCAATTGTTGTAACAGATACATCGGCAGTCCTTGTCCTTGTTGCTGAAGGTCAGTTTGGCCAGCCATGGTTTTAAAGATGTGGTGATGCACTCAAAGACACCTAAGCTGCTTCATACGCCATGTCCCAATCATCACAGTGGATGGAAATGTATCTAGGGCAGAAGCTAAACCAACTACCACTGATAAGCATGAGACTAACATTGCAGCCATTATCATTTTTTTCCGCCACTGGAAACAATAGAGAGGTCGTTCATCGTAATCAATTGCCCAATATCATGTCACCTCAACATGCCATTCATAACACTAAAAATGGCACGGTGAAAATCAGGAATGCCCGTTTTGCACACTCCCACATGCTCAAAGGCTTTGGAATTGGTGGCAGCTCCTATATAGCCGTCTTTTTTTGTGCCCCTTTGGATCAAAGTGTCAAAGCAATTCCGCATGTTGGTGCGACACGTTGTGTTGGTATTTAATGGTGACGTCAAATCATTGAGGAAAGTAATTGAAAAAGTTGAAAGGAGCCAATGTAGGAAATGAGATTCGAAAAGCGGGTTCAGGCATCCATTTATTTTCCTGTAGCTTGTCCTGATTACTGCTGTTGTTAGTGCAGTTAATTTATCTGGATGTGGTCGCTCCCACACATTTCGTTGGTCGGTGATACTGTTTTCTATTTGTTGGGCCCATTCCTTACGTCATACGGCAAGTCCACAGGGAAATGGTCACAGAGCAATCAGTCCCATCATATCACTGTTGCATTGATGGGTTTCTAATGACAGTCAAGAAAGGGCAAGTAAGTATTTTGCACATTATCTGAGGTAATTATTAAAAACAAGAACCAGCCATTGTTATCATTATTGTAAAAAATTCTTTCAATATTATTTTCCAGAATATGGATATATTTATTTATTGCTTTACCAGAGTTAATACGTTTCTACATTTAATTTAAAACCAAATTATGGCACTGATATTCACTCCTGTTCCTATGGTAAATGATTTATGCATCTAACCCCAACAGGTCGAAATTAATCAAGCAACCATTAAGCGTCTTCTGTATATCTCCAAAAACAATGAGAAACGGCTCTCATTTACAAGTGTGCCCTGATAATACAACTAGAAAAACATAAAAATAGATAATGGTGCTCCACAAACCTGCCTCAGAAATCATGTCAAGCGGTAATGGAAAAAAAACACTGAGCTAACTGGATCTCATATATTTGTCCAGCCTTCAGTTGAGGCGGTTGTTTTTCAAAAAAAATAAAAAATGTAATTCTATTTTGTGGATCTCCTCTTCATATGGGGAGCTCTACTCCTATTGGTTTACCCTTCAATGTACTTGGGCAGTAAGTCTGGGAATTTGAATATACACTGATTCATTTAGAAATATCCTTGTTTCTGAAAGAAAAGCACATTTTTGTCAATTTAAAATAAAATAATATTGATTAAAAATACAATGTAGACATTAATGAATGACTATGGCAGCTAGATGTTTATTGGAATAACTACATAGGCGTGCAGAGGGCGTTGCTCCACTAACAGTGGAGGTTAAATTCATCTTTAATTTAACCTTTATTTATTAAGAACAATTTCTAATTTGCAACAGCGACAGCTGGGATTTGAACTCAGGACGACATGCCCACAAAGCATGCACTCTACCACTGAGCTATCTACTGCCAGTCTCATGTTATGAATGCTTATAGCACTACTACAGATATTTCATCAAATGACCTCTTGATTGTCTGGCATTGATAACACTGGGTGTCTTCAATGAATAAGTATGTGCACTGTTTGATTTAATTCCTAGAAGACATGAGAAAACTTGCAAGAATGTCTGCCCTGAAATCAATATTGCGAGTATGTAACCATATTACAAAGAATCAATATACCGGCAGACATCTCTGAAAACCTGTCCTCAAGAAATGCCAGTTGATTGACACATGGAAATTGTATCCAAACTCTATTTGGTCATTCAGTTAGAGTAAAGTTTGGATATTCAGTCTACTTAAAAAACCTGCAAATATAAATTGTAAGAAAAAAAGAATTTTTGGGCCAATAATAATTTCAATAACATACACGTAAAAAAGTGTCCCTCTTACACAAACCATTGTGACCCAATCATATTACTGACCACAGTGCTAGCATTCCTCCTTAGCTTAATCGCAGTACGTTTTGTACCAGTTTGGATAGAGGGTGCCATGTTTGAAGGATATTTGTGCCTGAAACGAAGAGAAGCTAATCATATTATTACACTACATGTTTTGCATGAATTGCTGTAAAACCTGAATTTAGTTGGCTTTATGAAGACCCTATTTATAGCATATAATGCATATGTGTGTATGTGAATACATGCTGAATATGCAATATGTAAGATCTTTATAAAAATATCTCTTGAGACCGCAGGTATTAAATTTATCATCACACATTTATAAATAGCCCTGGTGATAGCTAAATTACAGACAGCTGTGCCGGACCCTTTTCTTTCCTCTTCTTACTCCTCCTTCTTTTCCTCCCCCTGTCCCCGGAGGAATGTCCCCTGTCCTCTCCCCCAGTGTCCCTGGAGGTGTCCCCTGTTCGCTCTGCCAACTCCAGCCTCTTCAGGAACTAAAAAACTAAAACTGCCTCCTTGGCAGATTGTAGACATACACAAGGCTGGAATGGGCTACAAGACCATCACCAAGCAGCTTGGTGAGAAAGTGACAGCAGTTGGTGCGATTATTCGCAACTGGAAGAAACGCAAAATAACTGTCAATCTCCCTCGTTCTGGGGCTCCATTCAATATGAACTGTGAGGAATCTGCCCAGAACTTCACAGGAGGATCTTGTCAATGATCCCAAGACAGCTGGGACCATAGTCACCAAGGCAATTGGTAACACGCCACGCCGTGAAGGACTGAAATCGTGCAGAGCCCCGCAAGCACAGGTACAGGCCTGTCTGAGGTTTGCCAATGAACATCTGAATGATTCAGAGGAGAACTGGGTGAAAGCTATTTGGCATGAACTCAACTTGCCATGTTTGAAGGAGGAAGAATGCTGCCCATGATCCCAAACACCGTCAAACATGGTGATGGAAACATTTTGCTTTGGGAGTATTTTTCTGATATAGGGACAGGACAACTTCACTGCATCAAAGGGGCGATGCACGGGGCCATGTAGCTCTAAATCTTGGGTGAGAACCTGCTTCCCTCAGCCAGGGCATTTTCAAAGAGGTGTGGATGGGTATTCCAGCATGACAGTGACCCAAAAGACACAGCCAAGGCAAAAAAGGGGTGGCTCAAGATGAAGCAAATTAAGGTCCTGGAGCGGCTCAGCCAGTCTCCAGACCCTAATCCCATAGAACATCTGTGGAGGGAGCTGAAGGTTTGAGTTGCCACAGGTCAGCCTTGAAACCTTAATGGCTTGGAAAGGATCTGCAAACGGGAGTGGGACAATATCCTTCCTGAGATGTGTGCAAACCTGGTGAGCAACTACAAGGAACGCCTGTGTCACGAGTGAGGACGTTTTTCACTCTGGGTGTTTGGAGTTGGTCACCTTTTCCTTCGGTTTGGTTTAAGTTGATTCCAGTGTATGTTTAGTTTCCGTTCGTTGTGTGTTAACTCCTTCTAGCGCAGCTCCACTATCCTCTGGGGGCAGGTTTCGGCGTTCGTCGTCGCTGACGTATAAACGACCGCCGCCCCCTGTTTAGTCACATTGTCTAGTCCTGTCTATTGCACACACCTGGTGTTCATTCCCCATTAGTCTCCTATATAGGCTTCCTCTGTTGGGTCATGTCCTTGTGTGGTATTGTTCCGTGTTTCGTGTTGTTGTACGCCACACAGTGTTCTATTACAGACCGTTAAATGTCTGTTAAACCTATTGAGCCCTAGCTTGTGGCTAGATTACATTGAAGAGCTGTGACGCTCCTTTTGTTGATTTTCAGGTACAAGTGTGTACGACTAGCTTTGCGTTGTGTTCCGAGGAAAACAGTATATTGTTGGTTTTATTTGTGTAATAATATAGTAATGCGCCTGGCTCCTTTTCCACTACACGTAATGAGAATCGTGACCGTCTGACCTCTGTGATTGCCAACAAGGCTTTTGTAAAGCGTTATTCTAGACTTTTTTGTTGTTATTCTGTCTCTCACTGTTCGAATAAACATACCGTTATAACGATAGACTGTTTATATCTTTGTCAGTGGGCAAACGTACAAAATCAGCAGGGAATCAAATACTTTCTTCCTTCAATGTACCAAAGGAAGCCTATGTACCCTGTACTGTGAGCAACTATCACAGGCCCTCTTACGCACACATTCAGGACTCCTGCCCTTCCAGGTCTGTGAGAAGCTTTCCTGTGTCTCTGCGGCGAGAAAACGGGCTTAGATCCCTACGGAAGTGTTGGAGCAAGGAGAAAATCCCCTCACTGTTCATAAGACAAGACTGAACTAGAAAAAGTGCAATGCTGGGACCAATGGAAGTACATCCGAGTGGATGGATGAGATTATCCCAGCTGGGATTTGGTGTGAGATTTAGGGTAAATGCTGAAAAGGTGGGCGTGCAGACGTGTCTCTGTCTAAGCTTCTCGACGCGGACTTGGAAGTGTTATCCAGTGAAATATTTGATATGAGTGAGCGAGAGCAGGTAGGAGAGTGTGTGGGTGTATATGTGTGCGAGGGAATGAGAGAGACAGAGCTAGAGATTTATGAAATGTTTATGAGGGGAGACAGCGAGTCTGAGAGCAAGAGGGAATATATCATCATAAAGGTGAAAGTTCAACTGGTCATGTAATCCATGCTGAACTGCTGAATGTCTCCATAAGGATAAAAACTCAACTTTAAGCTCTGTCATTCATTCCCTATCAGCATGTCATGTTTCAACCATGTAATTTGTTACCGTCTACAGTATCCTATTTATTTGACTGAATTTGGCATGTTGAATAGGATTCTAGGATATAAGATGCACACATTCACTTAGTCCGCGTCCCCTCTCCGCTGTAACGACTTTGAACCAAAGTCACCGCCGATGTGTTGTGGCAGAGACGTCTATTAACGGTTTATTTTGGGTGCCCTAATCAGCTGCGTGGGAGTAGTAGAGTTTCAAAGAGCACCGGCGTCTCTCGAATATTGAACGTTTAGCTCAGGGATCCCTGGTGGCAGCCTTTTTCATCTTAAATTGGACACAAATTCCTGGCACCCGGTTACAATCTCGCTGTTGGAAATTAGCAACAGACAAAAGACAGAGGCCTGACGTGGTGGCGCCTCCTAATTAAGAATAAAATTGACATTTCATGGTTGCCACCAGACATTTACCCCCTTGTCAATGTTGGGCGATACCCGGCAATAGCGAGACTGATAATGAGTTGGCACTTAAAATATCACTTTTTAAAGCAGTTCTACGGTTTATTGCGACATGTCAGTCATTTGGCAGATGCCCTTATACATAGAGACATAAAGGAGCAGTTAGATTTAACTGTCTTGCTCAAGGAAAAAAGGACAGACGCTTTACCTCTCTCTCGCCTATGAGATATCTGCCGCCAAACTAATGTTAACACATTGTTAACCACATTGTGTCCACTGCTTACAATCCTACTATCAGCTGAATATAGTCATGTTGGGTCAATAATGTGAGAATAAAACATGTTAGGTCAGGGAGATTTACTGTAGTGATTGTCCCCACACTTGCACAGGAATGAATAGGCCTTTTCTGACGGGAAGATTCTAACACTCCTTGAGTGTATTTCTGAGAATGTTTCTGTGCTCTGTTTTAGATATATCACTAGATTGGACTTGGTGTATTCTCTCTGCTTGTAAGAATTAAACACTAATTGTGAAACGAGAAACTTTTTCATATTTGGATAAACGGAAGTAACACCTCAAGATATTAAGCTTGGTCGCAAATGGGTCTTCCGAATGTACAATGACCCCCAAGCATACTTACAAAGTAGGAGGTATCAAAGTTAATAAAAACTGAACCACCCCGGGCCACCTGACCACTGAACCACCCCGGGCCACCTGACTACCGAACCATCCCGGGCCACCTGACTACTGAACCACCCCAGGTCACCTGACTACCGAACCACCCCAGGTCACCTGACTACTGAACCACCCCGGGCCACCTGACCACTGAACCACCCCAGGCCACCTGACTACCAAACCACCCGGGCCACCTGACTACTGAACCACCCCGGGCCACCTGACTACTGAACCACCCCGGGCCACCTGACTACTAACCCACCTCAGGGCACCTGACTACTGAACCACCTCAGGGCACCTGACTACTGAACCACCTCAGGGCACCTGACTACTGAACCACCTCAGGGCACCTGACTACTGAACCACTCCGGGCCACCTGACTACTGAACCACCTCAGGGCACCTGACTACTGACCGACCTCAGGGCACCTGACGACTGAACCACCTCAGGGCACCTGACTACTGAACCACCTCAGGGCACCTGACTACTGAACCACCTCAGGGCACCTGACTAATGAACCACCTCAGGGCACCTGACTACTGAACCAGCTCAGGGCACCTGACTACTGAACCACCTCAGGGCACCTGACCACTGAACCACCACTGATTTTATTATCTTTGTTTGGGTAGAAATGAAGACTCCCAGACTGCATTGCATTGGAAAAAAACATGTTCACGCACTGATCTTAAAAAGCTCAACATCATCATTATAACCTTTAAAGAAATTTACACT